GAGAGATCGTCCATTAGATGGATGTTGCCTTTAGTTTGTAATGCATTGTCTCATCAATACAAGAACCTTTCATGTTATACTAGATGTATCAATATAGGCATGCATGCATGCATTATTAAGTCACTTCACATTATATTACTACAAAATATTTACTATAACGTCTATAAATTCAGCTTCTACAAATTATTTACCACATTCACTCATCAACCATATTTAGTTTAAAGAAATAAACATATATTTCACAATCTCATAAAATGTCTTTGTTGTGGATGGGAGAATCGCACCGTGAAATACTGACAAATGTCCAAGCATATGTAAGGTTCTTATATTCTCAACCTAATTGTTTATTTAATCATCGTATTCATTATTATTTCTATTTTTTCTCAGGTAGACTCGAGGTTCCGAGTACATTCGCATAATCATATCCCACCAAGTGCAGAAATATTACCGTATTTGGAACAAGTCGGTTTTGCGAATGTCATAAAAATATCTAGTTTAAAGATTGACTCCAAACTAGTTGTGTCTTTATTAGAGAGATGGAGACCAGAAACACATACCTTTTATTTATCAACTGATGAATGTCCCATAACTTTAGAGGATGTGAGTATGTTTATCGGTCTCCGAATAGATGGCAAACCTGTTAATGACCTACAATATAACAAATGATGTTTACATTAAAAATTTAGGTGTAGGATGGAAAATAACAAATTTGTTAATAGCCCTACTGATGTAACTTTAAAGAATGCGAGTAAGTATACAAACATGTTGCATGTCCTCGCCCTCCTATTGACGGAGTCTCTTCATCAAAAGAGGTATCCTAAAAAAAATTTTAAAAGCAAGACAAAATGAAAAATTAATTTCTAAAACAGAGTAAAACAGTAAAAACTCTACAATATGATTCTCCTCAAAAAGCTATTGAATATGTGCACAGGTACCTAATTCATCTTTGTTTTTCTTTGGTGGAATGTATGTCCTATGAATAACGTATGCTTTCTATTTTTGCTATTTTAATCCAAATTAAGTTTCTAAGAAGTTCATCCTATTTACTGTGTTTTAAAAAGGACAAGAAAATGACATGATATTATAATATTCATTGTTGGGTATGTACACTATTGAAACTTCAAATTACACATCAAAATCAACAATTTAATTCAAGTTAGAATTGTTGACAAATTGATTGATCTAGTTTATATTGGCTAGAATATCAACGTGTGAAATGTAGTGCAGATATAAAGAAAATTGATGGAGATTTAAAGGCTTTGAGAAGTAAATATAAAACTTTTCTAAAGTTCTATTTATGAAAAATAACAAATAAGAGTGCATGCAATTTATTATTATGATATATTGTGTCCAGCTCAATTTAACAAATTTAAATATAAAAATTAAGATTTAAAATGAGACATATTAAAAATTAACAAAATAAATTAAGAGGTTTTATAAAGCCTTATAAATTTTGTATAATACTTGATATTATAAAATAAATATTAAATATATTAATAAAAATGATTAAATATTTTGTAAATCAATTTATGGTAAAATTAATGAGTAAAATTTATACTATCTAAACAAAAACTTTTTATTTTATAAAGTGGGATCTAAAATAATTAATAATATAAAATTAATATTATTAATCAAATTAAAATAAAAAAAATATCAAACTTAAAAAATGTAAGGTCTGAGGCATAGGAAAGAAATCAAATCTGGCCGAACCCTAACACTTTGCCCTAAATATAACAAGGAAAATTTGATTTAATTAGGGGTGGGGTGAGTGCATGTTTTAGGTTTTAATTATGGCGACGGGGTGGGGTGGCGATGTGAGTACTCGTCCTTAGAGGTGGCAATATAGTTCTGACTCGTTGGACATGTCTGTTTTTCCTGTACTTTAGTGTGAGACAGACCAAGGATTTAGATATTCACCTTCAAATTTGTCCACCACACTCTATTACGATTTTTTACGACATTCTATAGGCGCGGACATTAACATAATTTTATGCATTTTTAGACTTAAAAATGTTGTGCACGTAAGTCCGTCCCGTCACACTTTAGTATGACACATGTTAAGGTTTTAGGTCCGACCCTCAACCATGTTCGTCCTATCCCGTTTCATTTTTTTTCGAGTTTTCGTGCGACATACCTAAATAAGGTGAACAATCTCATTTGCCACTCTTCCCGCCTCACACCCACCTCCGCTTCCATCTTATTAAATTTATTTTATTATTTTTATTTTCAATAATTTTATTATATATTTACTTAAGATAACATATTTATTAGAACTATTTCTTTTTTTCTAAAAATATATATTAAATAAGAAAAAAAAAGTTAAGTATTATCAAGTTATTGAAATAATTAAGTATATAATTTAATTATTTATTTTTGTTGTTACGGAAAAAAATGCATTTTAAAAAATATATATTTTACGTGGGTTGGTGTAAAACAGGACATTGAAAGTGGAGATGGATGGTTAATTGTTATCTTCGATTAGAGGCGAGGATTGGGACAAAATTAATAAAGAAAGGCAACAACGGATTGATAATGTTTATATCGGCAATGCTTAAATTTGCCTTTACATTGTCTCGTTGTCATGCCTAGATTAAACTTTTATAATACTCTATTTATTCTCTCTTATAAATAAATTTTAACTTCTTAAATTAATTTAATAAATAATGTATTTAGACTATATATAGATTAAAACATTAATTATTTAATAAATCTAAAATATTAAAATTTGTTTATAAATAAGAATGGATGAGGAAAGAATAAGTAACTTCATGTATAAATTTTGATCATAAAAGTTGATTAAATGTTTTTCTCAGCCAATGTAATAAATTAAAAAAAAAATGTATTAAACCATTAATGTATTTGGTTTGGATATAGTCTATATACACCGGTTTGTTTAATGAATTAAAAAAAAACTTTTGATTAGGAGTTGTAAGAGGAAGTATGAGTAAATCTTGACCTTTGATATTATGTTTAATAATAAAATTTAAAAATATCCTTAATTTAATTATATTGATGGAAATAAATTTTCATATCATTAATATTTATATTTATATTGAGAGTAAAAGTCAAATACAACACTTACTAAATAAATATAAAAGTGATTTTTTATTTATAATATGAAGCTTTTAACTAGATAATAAAAGTGATTGCGGTGCGATTTAGTACAGTTTAGCGATAAAAATTCATCTAATTTAAAAATAAATTATTTATAATTCAATTTTAAATTATTAATTTTAAAATTTTAATCCAAATTAATTTTATGCAGTTTTATTTGGATAATTTTTTTAATATTCAGATTAAAAATCCTAACTTGTTATTAATATTAATACTACAAAAATAATACTGATATTTGAAAATATGTTAAAATTAAAATTATAAAATAAAACGATCAATTATGTTTGAAATAAGTAAAATATAAAAAATAAATTGGTAAAAAAAATTAATAAATACCATTAAAACAAAACAAATATTAATCAATAATAAATTAATGTAATATATTATATTAATAAAAAAATATATAAACAAAATTTAAGAGTGTGTTTATTTCATGATTTGAAAAAATATTCTAGAAATATTATTATGAAAATGCAATATTTTCATGTTTGATTTAAGTTTTACAAAATTAGTTAATGGAACTTTTTATTTCTAGAAATTTTATTTACACATGATTTTTTTTTTTAATTCTAATGCTTAATGGGTGAAAATATAACATTTCTATGGGAATAAGTTCAACCAATTATAATTTTCCACTATTTTTCACATTTATTTTTATTTTTTATTATTTTAAAATTTTTAAAAATTATAATTATTCCTAAAATAACATAGATTACTACCAAACACATGAAAATGAATAATATTTGTGAAAAATGATAATCCTAAAAATAATTCCAATAAATATAATTTGTAAATCTTAAAACAGACACATTCTAAAGTATATACATGCAATCTTAGCCAAGTGGTTATACTGATGATCTTTTTGAGATAACAACCCTTTGAATCTCAGCCAAGTGTGGTTATATGATGCTACATGAATTAATTTGAATATTTACCTCAAAACAAAAAATAAAAATGTTATAACAGTTAATAAATTAAAATTAATCGAAATACATTGTCAGTGCAAAAAAATAATTAATTATAATTTTTATTTTTTTATTTTTTATTTAGGTACTTATATGTAAAAAATAATAATTTTAATTGAATAGCTTTATAATGACAGTATATTTCAATTGATCTCATAAAAAAAATTTCAAAAATATGATATGTTTATAATTTAAGGGATAAAAACAATCTAAAAAAAATGATAAATTGAGAAGTATTGCTAAGCGCAAAATGAAAACATTTTGGAATATACCATGACTTTTGTAGTACAAGGATAGACAAAGAGTGGCATAATTGTAAATTCACCCTTGATAATGTGGTCACCACTCTATAATATATCACGCATTCCCTTCACATCATCAAAATAAAGCTTTGTTTGGCTACTACTATTTCCATTGACCATTATACCCAATCTCTGTACGGCACTCATCTATTTCAACGTGTTTTGTCCCTTATAATTTTCTAACCGTATATTCCTATATACAAGCCACTTATTTAACACTCTTAACAGTAATGAAAGTGATTATTACTGTACCACGTCACAACCCCAAACCTGTTTGTTTCCCCTTAAAAAGATAAGAAAATTGAAAATAACCAATTAACCTATATTGTCGTACTTTAAAAGCAATATCCAAAGTAGAATCGATTATCTTTAAATAGCATCCGTATACCGCTCATAACTCCACACACCACATAGCTTATTACTACTCTTCCTTTTCTTTCTCCCAACTACACTTCAAGTTCAAGCCGCTATTATTATCTAGAACTTAGAAGTGCTTTTAAGGATTTCATTAATTTGCAAAAGCACGTCAGAAATAATCAATAGCCACGGCAACTCTAAATCCTAACAAATCCGAATCCATCTCAAACCAGTTGGATATCAGGTACAAAACGACGCAGTTATGGCAGAAGAATCACAATTTCAACGAGAAGCCACTAACAAGTCGAAAACCGGTGTCGTTTTGTTTGAGAAATACGAAATTGGAAAATTGTTGGGAGTTGGTGCTTCGGCGAAGGTGTACCACGCGACGAATATTGAAACGGGGAAGAACGTGGCGGTGAAAGTCATGAACAAGAAGAAACTCGTTAATGGAGGTTTCTCCGCAAACATTGAGCGTGAGATCTCAATTCTCACGCGTCTCCACCATCCTAACATCATCAACCTCTTCGAAGTGCTGGCGTCGAAGACTAAAATCTACTTCATCGTTGAATTGGCCTCCGCTGGCGAACTCTTCGAAGAGGTAGCTAAACAAGATAAACTCACGGAAGAACACGCTCGGAGATACTTCCGGCAGCTTATCTCCGCCGTGAAACACTGTCACTCTCACGGTGTTTTCCACCGGGATCTCAAACTCGACAATCTCTTGCTAGACGAGAATGATAACCTTAAGGTAACGGATTTCGGTTTAAGCGCCTTGAAAAGCCAGATCGGGCCTGACGGTTTACTGCACACCGTTTGTGGTACGCCGTCCTACGTGGCACCGGAGATTCTCGCGAAGAAAGGCTACGACGGTGCTAAAGCGGATATATGGTCGTGCGGCGTCGTTTTGTTTACTATTACTGCAGGATATTTACCGTTCAATGATTACAATATTACCGTACTGTACCGGAAGATTTACCGTGGTCAATTTCGGTTCCCAAAATGGACGTCCTGTGATCTGAAGAATCTCTTATCAAGGTTGTTGGATACGAACCCTGAGACGAGAATTAGCGTTGATGAAATTCTTCAACACCCGTGGTTTAACTCGGGTGGATATAAACTAGACCGGGTTTTAGTTAAGGAACCGGAGTTGGAAGAGATTCGAACCGGGTTTAAATCCTTGAACGCGTTTGATTTGATATCGTTTTCAACCGGGTTAGACATGTCGGGTTTGTTTGAGGATCGAAACGGGTCGGGGTTAGCTGAATGGATTGTTTCGGCGGAGAAACCGGAGAGAATTATTAAGAGGGTGGAGGAGGTGGTGAAAGGGACGACCGTAGTTGTAACAAGAATGGGGAATTTTTCTGGAGCAAAATTGGAAGGGCAAGAAGGTAATTTGATTGGTCTTGTTATGGTTTACCGGCTAACGGATGAATTCGTGGTAGTTGAAATGAAGAAACGTGGAAAGGGGGAGGAACCTGGGACGCAACTGTGGAAAAATAAATTGCAACCTTTGTTAGTTGAGTTGGCTCATAAACCGGAAGAGCCGGTTTCCCGGTGACTTCTAGTGTGATTTATTGAAATTTGATTAATAAGTGTTAATTTATACTACTATCTATCATTTTTAGTCTTACGGTATCAAATACCGAGATCTTTCTTTTGCATTGAGAACTTTCAAAAAAAACAAATAATTTTTTAATAATAATTTTTAAATTTAATTTAATTTAATGGTTAAATTAGCATTTTTATTTATAACTATTCGATTAAATTTAATTTAAAGATTATGATTGTGAATAAATTATAAATATTTTTAAAATAAATAGATCTTCACTCTTATTTAATTATGATATTTTTTAAGGTGTAATATATATTTAATTTCTATAAAATCATAAACTATTATTAAGTTAGATTTTCATATTAATTTAAAGTCATTGTTTTCCATATAAATTCAATTTTAGTTTCTATTTTAATGTAATACTCTAGATTTATTATGTGTTGTCTTTTTAAAAGTCAAAATAATACTATTTCTGTTTTTTTTATAAAAGATATTTTTTTTAAGTTTATTAAATAATTAATGTATGTAGTTTATAAATTAATTAAATATATTAATTATTTAATAAATTAAAATATAAATTATATCTTATATAAATATATAGAAGTAATAGTAATTAGTGTAAGTAGAAGAGACAAATTTCAAAAGAGTAGAATACGTAAGTTACCAACTTTAGTAGATAAGCTTATGTTAGAACTGAACTTGAATGAAGTTTGGTAGGAATAAATATAGTCTTTTTGATTTTAATTTTATAAAAAAAACAACTTATTAAAATTTGATGTATTCAGTTTAAATTTGCTCAAATATATTCATTTTTCTTGACTCAACTTATATTTTTGGTTTAACTATAGTTTTACCATATTTTTTAATTGTTTTGTTTTCTTTTAAAATTTAAACAATTTTAATCTCTTTTTTTATAATTTTATATTATAAGATTGGTGACGAATTCTTTTTTATTATCATTTATATGGTCGATTCAACATATTTCTTGAAGAATACGTTATCACTTTTTAAAATAAAATTATATTAGAGAGATTAAGACTGTTCAAATTTTTTTAAAATAAATTAAATAATAAAATAAAAAATTTATATTTATTTATGATTGATGACCGTACTTAATGATCAAATATTTTTAATATCCTTTCAATTAACTAATTAAAACTATCATAAAAACAAATTCACTTATCCAAACTCAACAAATAATTGATTATAAATAAAATATTAAAAATGTGAAAGAGAATTTTTTTTATTATTAAAATAAAATATTTTTTATTTTACAACTATATCAGAGAAAATTTAAACTTTATATCTTACGTTATAAAACTAAACTCTCAGCACTAAAATAACACTAAGTATATTGTACAAAGAAAATAAAATGAAATGACACTAAGTATAACTAGACTTTATATATATATTTGACTTTTTAAAATATATATTTGACTTTTTAAAGTAATATTTTAAAATTATTTTGGTTACACTTAGATTTAATTAAAATTAAATAATAATAGTATTAAATTTTTCCTTGTTCATATATAGTTTTAATTAAAAATTGTTTGTATCACTCATTCTAACAGTTTAACCTCGTCTCTTTTACAACACTACTTAAAATTAAGACTTTCAGAGTGTTTTAAAATAAAACTGTTCCTAAAAATACATGAACAGAAACAATAATGCATTTTTTTTAAAGTGTTTTTAATTTTAAAGAAAAATAACTTTTTAAAAACATTCTCATCCGCTCTTCCTTAAAATAATTTATAAACATGTTAAACAAAATTTTAAAAAAAAAGTATCATATAGTTTGTTATAGTATGGTGATGATACTATATTGATATGTGATGGGGCTGGGAGAATTTGTTGGTAGTGAAATCCATATTTAAGGGTTTTGAGCTTTTGTCTGGGTTGAAAATAAATATGGGGAAGAGTAGTCTATTAGGTGTTGGTGTGGATGATTACTTTTTGAGAGGTGCTGTTCATTTTTTAGCACGCAGAATTGGATCCTTTCCTTTCACCTTCCTTGGTCTTAAGCAATCACAAATCACAGGAGAACGATGTTCTAGAAACCAATCATTGATTCATTGAATGTCACATTGTCTCCATGGAAAGCTAGATTGCTTTCCATAGGTGGTTGAGTTGTTGTGATTAACTCTATCTTCACCATTATTCCTATACATTATCTCTCTTTTTTCAGGGCTTCTCGAAATGTATTGAAAGGAATGGTTTCAGTTCAACGTAGTTTTTTGTGGTTTGGTTTAAATTCTAGTAGAGGTGTTTCGTGGGTGAGATGGTCTACGATTTGTAAGCCGAAGGAAGGATGAGATTTAGGAATCAAGGATTTAGATCTCTTCAATAAAGCTCTCTTGAGTAAATGGTTGTGGAGGCTCCTTGTGGAAAAACATGCTCTTTGGGTCGGGATCTTGGAGGGTCGTTATGAAGATTATGCTACAAGTATTGGCTGCAGAGTTCGTGTTAGTAACTATATGCATGCTTCTGTGGTGGAAGGATATCATCTTGAACGGGGAGTTATCTCAAGGCAAGGCGTTCGTGGAGTTTTTTTCCCTATAAAATTGGAGATGGAGCTTTGAGTCTTTTCTAGCACAGGTGTTGGTGTGGGCAGTCCTCATTGAAGATGTTGTATCCATACCTCTATGATAATTTTCCTAGAAAATTTGTTGTTGTTTCTGAGATGGGCTGTTGGGTGGATGGATTTTGGCAATGGCATCTGAAGGCTCTAGGTTTGGAGTATAACTCAACTTTAGAGGAGGAGTTTCAAAATTTAATTATTCTTTTGCAGGAAGTATCTCCCTTGGTAGAGGGCCTTGACACCCTATGTTGGTTGTTTGATGCTTCGAAGCAATTCACGATTAAGTCTTTCTATCATAAGCTGATGGCTGCCAGGTCTCATGTAAGCTTAGGCGAGGAATACGTTTCTGCCATCAACATGGTATGGAAGAACTGTGCGCCATCAAAGTTGAAGATCATGGGCTTGAGGTTGCTCATTAATAGGCTTCTTACTCGCAGTAATCTTGCTAAACGCGGGATTATAACTATTCCTCATGAGTTGGTGTGAGTATTCTGTTTTCGTGCGCATGAAAACGGTTCCCATCTTTTCTTAGCTTGTGCTAAAAGTAGGCTTGTGTGGAGGAAGGTTATGGTTTGGTTTGAGTTGGAAGAGATTAATGAAGTTTGTTGGGATTATCATCTGTTAGCTTGGCGTTCGCAATTGAAGGGCAAAACTTCGAAGGAAGGTGCGGCGGGAATGTGGCTGGTGGTGTGTGCGTGTATTTGGTGGGAAAGAAATCAAGTTTTGTTCAATGATGTTATTTGTGATCCCGACAACGTTGTACATAGGATAGTTAATTTAGCTTGGTGGTGGTTGGTAATGAAACTGAAACATAGAATATACTGTAGTTACTACGAATGATGTAAATACCCTTGGCTCTTTATTTAGAGTCATCTTTGTATTTTGAGGATTTTTGTACCCCTTATACCTTGCTGAATGTCTATTTTGCTTATAAAAAAAATATTGTCTATTTTAAGAGTACTTTTCTAAATAAATTTTTAAAAAAAGTTCTTAAAAAGGACAACGACAAGCGATGTAAATAACTTTTATAAAATGACAAAAAATATTTATATCAATAACGTTTTTTAAAATAAAAAACGCCCTTAAAATTTATAGTGTTTTTCATAAAAGTAGATTTTTTTTATTGCTCCAAGTGAAAAAACACATGAGAAAAGAGGTTTTTTTTTAAAAGCGCTCTTCTTTTTATTCTAAATATTTATTTTTCAGTTTCACTCGTATTCACATATTCATAAAGGTAAAAATATAGAGACATTGTTGTTGATTTTGACAAAATATATATTAATGTGATTGTGTTAAAGAGTTTAGGAATATATTTGGATAATGTTTTTGTGATTGTTCTAAAATGTTTGAGAAGCTAATGAGTTATGCAGACAGACACACTGTTGTATGACGGATGTACTAAATTTACAATGAATGATTTTAATAAATATATAAATACAATATTATAGCATATATTTATAATTGTGTTAGATCAAGAACAATGTACCTGTAGAGTTATATTTGTAAAAGGCCTCATCTAGAGCGATGTCCTTAGGCCACCCCAGAGGAAACGGTGATAGAATTTCACGCAAAGGGAGGTATCGCCTCGCCTTATGGTCACCCATCGCCCTTATGTGAGAAACGTAGGATAAGACTTTCTTTGGATAAAGAGAAAGTCCAAGTTATTAACTGACACACGATTCCCTTGGAAATAGAGATTCAACTGTCCACCATTAACTGAGTAGACAGTGACCCTTTCCAAAAATCGCGTGCTGATGTCGATGGTGATAATTGCACCGGTGGAGATTGAAGGATGGTTGTAGCGCGGTGTTGGGATGGTGATTGAATCACGATGGAGGTCGAAGGGTAGATCGCAAGAGACCACCAGCTTTTCCTTACACCGTTTTTCCTTTTTCTTTTTTCTTTTTTTTTTCTCTTTTAAGAATCAGCGCTCCACCCCCCCCCCCCCCTTCCCTCTAGGTCAACTCTCTCTATTTATTTAGAATTCTTAATGGTAATGGGGCATGGCATGAGATTGAATGGGCAAAAAAAGTGAGATGGGCTTTAAAAATGGATGTAGTTTTTGTGTTAAAATGGATACAAATTTTGAATTTCAAATTGGTTTAATTGATAATTAGAAAATAGTTTCTGAATGGATTGGACTTTATTTTGGATATGAAATGGGTGAAAATGGTTTAAAATGTGGATAAGTTTAGATATGTATTTAAGAGTTGGTTTTTAAAGTGCCGACAATGTAAATGGTTAATGGATATTAGTAGAAAAATTGGAAGTGGTTATCCAAATGAATATGTGTTGAGGAAATGGATTTGAATTTTGAAATTGGTTCTTGAATAATGCCTTCCAAATAAATCATAACCATTCACTTTCCATCATTGCATGCCTAAAACCGTGATTCTTACAATCCAAATTAACTCGCAATTGAAGCAAA